ACCACCGCTGACTAGACGTCGACTAGACGTCGTCAGTCGATGTTGTAACTTAGAAAGCTAGTAACTATTTCCCGCCTGTAGGATAATGGGCATTTGTGATCATCAACTTATACTAGATTTTTACAACTGGGTCTACAACTGGGTCAGGCCTCTGGGTCAGGCCTCGTGGTTTTTCCCCTTTACGGGTTTTTCACGTAAAAACTTCTAGTGTTATCACAGCTTGATTCATTTTCATTTGAGTGCGTGCTGAATCTTCGCGCAACGCTAAGACAATAATCCATTACTCTACCGCCGCGAATTTTCTAGCATGTATCAGTTTGGCGCCTTCTGTGGGAAAGTTTCAATCCCACAATTAAAGTACTTATGCAGTCTACTACATGGCCACCAGACACAATATTCATGACAATGGAGCATCCCGCTCCAACACCCATCGTTCCAGGGAGCAGTCACGAAGCCAAGGGCGGCATGCTTCTTCATCTTCCTGCCCTGGAAGACGCTATCCCGCCAATGAAGGTGTTTCTGGTCCTTCAATAGAATATTGAATGCGTAGAATGGAGGAGTCTCAACTAGAGATCCTACAGCTTCTACGCGGGGCTCAACAGCCGATGCCTACTGATGCCTACTCCATTGGATAAAATTCGTTTACCATTAACTCCGTGACGTACGAGAAATATACCGCTCGAAGGAACTCATGCCGACATGCCTCCTCAAGGAATAACACATCCCCTGTCAGGTTGTGATGTTGAACTCCTAGATACAACAAGTTCCACTCATCCATCTCGTGCAGCTCACCCGACATCGCCACGTCTTCCTGCCATTCCAGATAATGTCATTCATAATGAACTACGACGCCTCGTCCGGGAAGACTTCACCTTAGAGAAAAAAGATCGCTTCTACGCCACCGTAACATCCATGAATCTTCTCCCTTAGCGGATGCAATCCTCCAACACCCCATCCCAACAAGCTTTAAGCTTCCGAACATCGATACATATGAAGGGACAACCGACCCTTATGAACATATTGATCATTATCAAACAATCATGCACATTCAGTGTGCCTCTGATGCACTTTTGTGTCACATTTTTCTGGCTACTCTTAAAAGACAAGCTCAAACCTGGTTCTACTCTCTGTCATGGGGCAACATAAATATCTTTAATGAGCTTGCCAGAATGTTTGTGGAATAGTTCGTGGCAAACCGACGATTTTCAAGAATTCATCACATCTCTCGGGAATTCATCAAAGCGAAGGAGAATCATTGAAGGATTACTTCCGCAGATTTTTTACTGAAGCCCGGTAGATCCCGAGAGTAGATCTAGAGTTACTAAGAGGAGTCTTCCTTGTGGGGCTCCGCCCAAGACTTTTCTACTTAACGTTGATGCAGGAGACGGTTCATTCTTATGTTGACCATGTTCATCGTATTGAGGTACAAATATTTGCAGATGAGGCCATCATTGCTCACAAAGAACAGTTGTTGGAGGGTGTGGGGGGGGGGGGCAAGCACAAGAATAACGCTGAGGATACCAATCAAATCTCACAACAAAAAAAGTTTAGGTCATAAAAGACTCGTGAGTAACGATCATAAAAAGAATACACGTCACTTAACACGTCACGTGTTAACATCTTAATGACAATCTAGGATAAAGAGACTGTCAAGTGGCCAAAGCCGTTAAAAAATCCAGATGGTGGAGATCAATCTCAATATTGTCATTTCCACCGTGCAAAAGGACATTCAACTAAAAAAATGTTTTCAATTAAAGGAAGAAATTGAACGTTTAATACGCCAAGGTCACCTAGGTCGCTACTTACAAGAACAATGTGAGGGGAACTAAAAGAGAGCTGTTGGAGTTATTGAATGAGCGTTATCAAATGAGAAGTATAACTCCAATTCATATTATCTGAGTAAAAGGCTTGCTTATAAACTCTTAAATTTATTTTAGCAAAATTTTTATGTTGCTTTAAAATATCCTTTCAATGAAAATTTCTTATTTTCTCACGAAATATTTTTGTGTAGAAAACCCCCTTTAGGATGAGAAACTACCATACCCCTAGAAGACGAGCCCAAGAGGCAAATCTCGATGGGAAGCTAGTTGTGGACAGGGTCATCACTAGAAAGACTCCATGAGAGCAAGTGGTTGACGGTGTCTCCACTCAAAGACCTAAGAAGGCTACAAGCCTCAGAAGACACAGGTACATCAAAGTCCTCAGAAGGCTACAAGTCTTAGAAGACACATGTACACTCAAAGCCCTCAGAAGGCTACAAGCCTCAGAAGTCTCACAAGTGCATAAAAATTCCTCAGAAGGCTACGAGCCTCAAAAGAACTTTGCACAATTAAAAAGCCACAACAAACGTGGAAGCAACAAAAAATAGTACTTTATTATCATTTACAATTGTCACATCAGAAGATTAAAAAGACTATAAATACCAACATATACATGTACAAGGGCTACAACAAATCAGTTCATCTTCAATTAGAGTCGACGTCACTTTTCTAAAATTCCAATATTTCTGATGATTGTCAAGGAGTCTCCAAATATTGCCACTATATATGCATAAAAATTTCCCCTCATTACGAGGAGAGAAAACTACATCATTTCTTCATCACTATCAGAACGTGCCAGAGCAGCACGAGAATCTCCTCCGAAATATGCGACGCTCCACCACAAAGTGTCGCGTGGTCGCGACACCCCGTCGCAAAGCATCGCCGCAACACCCCGCCGCAACGCTCCGCGGCAAAGTTTCACTGCAACTCTTCACCGCAACGTTTCGTCGCAATACTTCACCACAATATTTTGCCGCAATGTTTCGCCGCAATATTTTGTCGCAACACTTAGTTGCAGCATTTCGCCGTAATGTTTCGTCATAACTCTTCGCCGCAACTTTTGCCGCAACACTTCACCACAACTATTCGCCACAATATTTTGTAGCAACACTTCACCGCAATGTTTCTCCGCAATATTTGCCGTAACATTTCGCTGTAATGTTTTGCTGCAATATTTCGCCGTAACGTTTCGTCGCAACTCTTCGCCGCAACGAAAAAGAATATCCTATTCCTTGTTACACAGAACGGGACGACTTTTTTCTTTTGGGAAATCTCATATCACCCTTTAGGCAGAGATGATGACTCCGCCTTTTTTCTCCTCTCATTGGTCTATTTATAGGCTGAAAAACACTCTCATATTCATGATAAAATTAATTAGAGTCATAAGAAAACAATTATTTCTTTAAAAAAAAAAAACTTTTCATTTCATATTCCTTCAAATTGATTTTTAAAATTCTGTCTTTAATTAATTAAAATTAAAATAAATTAATAAAAAAAAAACCCTTTACAATCTGTGATTTTAAAAAAAAAGTACATTTAAATGTATGTTTTTTATTTAATTCTTGCTGCTTCAACTTCCCTTTAAAATCTAAAGTCAGTTTTGGATACTTTTAATTAATTAGAAGCTGCTTAAGCTCTCCAAATTTAATTTAATTACCTGCTGCTTGGGCTCTCTTCGGCTTCCCTCTCTCTGTGCCCCA